CAGCAATACTCAATAATTCCTAATGAAGTAATAGCGAACTACTATAATAATTGCTTCACTATTACCTATTGAGTAATTAAGCATAATTTATTTATATTCAACCAGGTTTGTCCCATTAAGATCACAGATCTCTTTTTCAAGGAAGACCTGGCCAAGGTAGCAGCAACACAGTGTTAGTGCAGAGTCTTACTTAATATTACAAAAACATAATCAGAATATACATTTACATACAGACAACCTAGTCTCCAGAGTCTTTACAAGAGTTTTAAATTCCTTCTGGGGTATTAAGTTGTGCAGACGGAGTTCAGCTTGAAGTCTGTTCCATGTGTAAGGTGCTGAAAACCTGAAGGCTTTCTTTCCCAGTTCAGTTCTTACTTTAGGAACAACCAGATGTTGAAAGTCCATCGAGCGAAGATTATGATGTCCTTGCTTCCAGGTCAGGAGTGAGGATAAGTAGGAAGGAAATTGTAATGAAGACCAATTTACTTTGGCATAAAGCACACAGTGATGAGTTAGAGAACCGCTGTTTGAAATAAACCTCAGTGCTCCATGATATACACTATCTAACATGCGTAGATAGTGAGCAGATGCATGCATGTACAGTACATCATTCCTTAGTAGTTAATAATACCAATTTAGGTGTTAATGAAGCACTACTCCTTTGTTGCTGCTTACTTCTTGCATATTTACCTGTTAACTACGGAACAGTATTATAAAGTGTTCAAAACCAAGCAAACAGTCAAAACCAGGGCGAAGGTACAATAAGGGATGAGGCGAAAATCGGAAGTCAAGAACAAAACATTCATACACAAGCATCCATCCATCCATCCATCCATTGTCCAACCCGCGTATCCTACTGGGTTGCGGGGGGTCCGGAGCCTATCCCGGAAGCTCATACACAAGCAGTCATACAAAAAGCAAAGCGAACGAAGAGCGAGCTAGCAGGCGTGAAGCAAATAGCGGGCCGAAGAAGGGACAAAGCGGCAATCTCTTCAGCCGACGAACCGGAAACTGCTCCGAAGGCAAGGGAGGCGGAGTCAGGTCCAGAGGGCGGAGTCGAGGAAGCAGTTGACCAATTGGCGAGTGGGCAGGACGTCCGAAGAACCTGTAGGCATCCTCCTGAACTTACGGCACGTACCTGAAACTTACGGCACATATCCCTTACTGCACGTGACCCAAACTTACGGCACGTAACACTCATTTTTACAAACACTTATTCAATGAAGATTCTAACGTAACAGGCAGACAACTATATGGCTTTAATAAGTATTTAGCAGCTACAAAAGATATTAAAAAGCTCTCTGTTCTAATGTTAATTTAATGAACATGAATTGACTGCACTGAGGGTGGTTTTGTCTACTGTAGCGGTCCGGCCATCATCCTGAACAGCGCCTGTGCGGTTCCTCTTCAGGTGGTCATGCATAGTGTCATGAACTGAGAGGCACAAACCAGGGAAGCAGGCAAAGGAGATAAGGACTGGAACCAAAAGGGTTTTAATCGGCACACGAAGGGGCATAACAATCCACACAACGATGCACGACACTACAATTACAGAACTAGGGAAACAAACTCTGACGTGGACTTAAATACACCGAACTAAAAAGGACAACTCGAAACAGCTGGTAAACACTGGGAATCCACATGAGGTTAACGAGGGGGGTGTAGCACAGGAGGATATTAAAGGAAAAGATTTGTTATAATAACCTGAAATGTTTTAGAAATCTTAAGGGTAATTTTATTAAAATTAATAAAAAATGATGCGTCGATTTAAAATATTGATGTTGACACATTTTCTATAATGCAGAGAACAGGACAAGTAAACCATTCTATAGGTAAGTCAAAGACTTTTTTAGTTATCGTGTTAATAGGAAGACGTCTGCAGACACAGCAAACTAGTCCCTACAACACATGTATTTTTCTCCCTTGGAAAAAAAATATAATAGGAAGTTTGTACTAATGAGAGAAAATTGCAATTCATGCCATTGTGAAAGCTTGTCTAGGATCAAATTAAAAATAAAAATCCATTGACATCTACAAAAAAAGTTACCAATGGGGGAAAAAAATCATAAATGTATTTTAATGCACTGCAATAGCAAAATAGTGGATTAATTTTGCAAATGTTCACATTCTTTCCATAGTTAAAAAAACAACTTTTCTGAGTCATGGTTACTGTTGTAAGACACCTGTAAGAACAACAATGTCTATCATTACATATGTACAGTACATTTGACCTACTGCTACATACCAGGATATGAATTTAGTTTTATTTAAAATAAAGTATGTTTCAATACAAATTAATAATCTAGTGTTTTTTTCTTGTAGCATAAAACAATTCCACAACATAGAGCTGCTACGAAAATTATTGTTGAAACGACACCTGCGATGAGCCCACCGCTGGAGCCACCTAAGGAACAGATACAATGTTACTTCAGTACATGAACACCATATAGTACAATAAAACTAAAATATAAGAGTTTTTCTGAGTGACTGACCTGGAAATAAATCCACTTCCTTCACAGTGACCTCCATCATACTCACAGGGTTGCTGAACACACATGTGTAGCTTTTATCCAGCTTGTCACTCTTCTGAACATGGAGTGTTGTGGCAACATTTGCTACCATCTCATTGTTCTTCTTCCAGGAGTACTTGGTATATGTGGTGTCCGTTCCCTCACAGACCAAAGTACACTGGGTATTTTCGCAGATTTTCTTGACACTGGGTTTGGACACTGGTTCTGTAGATCGGCGTAAAGACACAATTAAAATGCTAAAAACACCAAGAAACTCATTACTGAAATATGGACAAGTATACAGAATAAAACTGACCTAGAATAATAATCTTACTTACCAAGTGCAATCACTGTAAAAAATGACTGAGCTGCCATTCCATTGATCTCAGCAGATAAATCCAGTTTTTCATTCAGCGTTAAATGCATAATTTTAAGCTCCCCAGTTGCAGTATTCAGTTGACACCTTGGTCTGGGTTTACATATGGTATAATAATCAGGCGTTGATTGACCTGTTTCCCACTCTGCTGCTTTGTTCAGGCCACTTTTCCATGTGATGCTGAAGATGGGCTGGTTCACAGTGGGCTTCAGTTTAACTTCTCCTCCTACTTTTCCAAAGACCACCTCCCTCCCTGCATGGGTGGCAAAGACATCAGAGTGCCACAGAAAATCAGATTTTAAAGTGAATATGTCAAAGCTCTTAAGTTTAAGCTAATAAATAACAGCACTACAGACATCCCTATTTAGGGATATTGATTTCAGGTAGGTGGAAATTCAAAAATGTTCTGCTATTTTTCCCAGAATTTGCTACCTTATAGAAACAATTGATTTTTGTTTTTTTTGCCAAAAAATCCTACCCATACTTTTGAATAGACATTAGCCTAAGAATTTATGCTAACAGAATAACTGTCCTATACTCAGGGGCGTTGCTAGAGATTTTGGGCCCCATGAAAGCATATCATATTAGGCCCCCCAGTCCAAACCAATCCAGTTATTTTCCTAATTTTTTAGGGCCCCTGTCACTCAGGGGCCCTTGGAATCGTCCTAGCTTTCCTCCCCCTTACGGCACCCCTGCCTATACTACTATACTTTAAATGAGGGTAGCATTTTTTTACATGTAGGTTTATGCTGCCAGGAGCTGCTACCTTTAGTGTTCAGTGGGGTACCATGCAGTAAATATATACATGTACTGCATATATATCTGGAATTGCACGATACGTTCACCTGGTCTCAGTGTGACCCCTATCAAACTCCGTCAAGTGCTGGTAATAATGTCTAATGCGTCTATATGAGGCGTCCTCTGTGTCTGGTGACTAGACCTGGCAGCTACTTGCAAAACGAATCATTTACAGGTGCATCGCTGGTCTGCACGTGTATCAATTACATCCAAATCACACCATTACTTCTGGGCGCTTCATTTTTTTTTGGAACTTTGTAATTTATTGCTTTTGTGACTTAAAGCCCTACATTGTTCTACATTGTTGCTTATTTTCTGACTTTTCTGACTATGACAGTCTAACTTTGTGTGCTGATTCACTGTACGTACTGTATCACAGGCTTGAATTAACTATTAATCAATAACTAATAATTAATTGTATGGTCTGGAGGGGGGTGCTGGCGGTAGCTAGAATTTGTTGCGGGAGGGGGGGTGTCTGTATTAAACGGAATAAACGGAACGCTACCGTTATCCTATTCTCTAACAGCGTTTATCTACTGTCTTAATTAGACAAAGATTTTCCTTGGTAATTCACGCATAATTAGATACTGACATAACGTCTTCAGACTGAGTAAAACAGCAGCGTGCGTTTCAAGGCGTGGCTGGAAATATCATCTACAATTCTAGATAAATAAAAACGACACTTTGGATATTCAGCGGACACATTGTAGTGTTAATTAATTCATCGGAAATTTAGGTTATTACATCCATTCCTGCTTCCTGAAGTAACGGGCGAGGTCACTTAATTAGCTCGAGTTTTTTGAGTACACATTATAGATATTACGGTATGAATCAGTAAATCAATATTCAAGATGAATCAACATTCAGTTAACAAAAATGAACAGAACCGGCTAAATGACACATAACAGTATAGTTGCCCTCTTAGGTAATAATGAACTTACCATCACAAAGATCTCCGATACAGCACACAAGGGTAGTTAAAGTGAGAGCCCGGAAATACATTATCTGTTTATTTACTACATATAACACTATGAATACCCGATAATATCAGGACTACAGGCCTTTTCTTCGAAATAGAAACTGGAAACGGAGAACGTACAATATACGACATACAGTCGTGCGAGATAAAACGAGACACTGCAAGACAATTATATAATATAATAAGTGTAAATGAGGAATGCGCTGGTATAAAACTAGGAAACCAGCAAAAACACTTTGCGTCGCGCTTTCTGCCGGTGCAAAATAGTGTCCGAAACAGAAAAATTATTTGGACACGCCCATAAATAGTGCTTTGGGTTAGATCGTGACGACATTGCACATGGTCTGTATAGTGGCAATACAGGATTAAGTTAACATAATAAATACGTAATAAATAGGAAATGTGTTGAAGGTTTAAATTGGTAAATGGTAAAAACAGGCAAATAATTTCAAGGTGTGTACGAAAAGTTTTAACCCTCTGAAGCCTATCCATTTTGAGCGTTCTTCTATCCCCTTTAGGCTTATTACATGGTACAGTTATGTACATGAGTTAGCCACATATAGCTGTATGGTTCTGTTTTCAGGACATTCTGGGCTACTCAGATATGTCAATTTAATGTGTGAATGCTGACTCAGTCTTGATATCATCCTTCTTATGAGGAAAAAACTACTAGCGCCTGTTGAAATTTCTCAATTTTTAGTTTCATGTACTATAAAAACTTGCAAGCACTACAAATATAATCTTATAAATGCTGAGATTAGACTCCCTGTGATGTGGCAATGCAGGGATTTCATTGGGGACCTTTCTATGGCTTAGTATTATGAAGGAACACATGGTTAGTGTCAGGAAATTTTATTATTGTTTTAAAGATAAGAAAGATGATGATGTGATTGCATGCCCCCTGGTGGAATGCCACGGATATACAGTGGAGTAGCAGTGCCACGGCTTATCTTGATTCTCCAAATAGCACACCTGCCATCTTCTATCATACCCTATTCAAAGGCACAATATGTTCGCCCATTCTCACTTACATACACAAGCCATGTGTCAACCTCAAACATTAAACTTTATTTAGTTCCATACATGGTCATAGACAGTCAGAGGCCCCTGGGCTATTTGAGATGCCCCCCCTATTTTCTTTGATGATGTAGCTCGATAAATAGTAACGGTGATTGCATCACATGCGGAAAAAAATTGTAAATAATAATAAAAAATTGGAAATAAGAAAAATCTGAGGTAACACTTTACTTAAGGGGCACAAATAATATAATATTAACTATTAAGGCATTAGTTTGTGGTTAATTAATGCACAACTAAGTCTTAGTTACATAAAAATCTCATGTTTGGTCATCATTAATGAATGGTGATGGATTTACTATCAAGCAGTTACTATATTTGGTACTATATCTGTAAATTCTGTAAACCTTTGTGAACTACTGAAGGAGCTACTGATGGAACAAATAATGAATAAGAAAGGTGAAATACTGATCTCATGTTCATTCAGCAGTAATGAATCATGATGCATCTTTTATTTTAAGTAGCTACTATATTTGTTCATGACGTGTACTTCAGTATTAACTCAGTTACTACTACTTGTGTTACCAAAAATGAACAAATAAGGATAATACCTGTATTAAGTAAGCAAAACTCACTAAAATACTGTTTAAAAGAGTAAAATATTCTACTGTTTTTTTTTAACTGTCTAAAGATTTAAATAACGCATAAAATAAGTGTATAAACCTAACACTTCGATATTTCTTCAACTTTTATCAAAAATCATGTCATAGGTTAAAATTTAAGTTCATGTTATAGATAACAAGTCCAGTTTAATCCCCAGAAGAAATTCATGATTCACAATTCTTACACCTAAAATCCAGACCAAGATTTTGTTTCAACAAACCAGGGCCTGGTGTCCCGAAACTCTCTTAACGCTATGTCGTTTGTAAGTTCTACCTTAACTTCTACCTTAAAGCTCCAACATGTTTTTAGCTGAAACACTCTTAGTGAGGTATATCTTCCGTAAGATATTCTTTCATAAGGTTGGTCTCTTGTCGCTGTTGTCGGCTCATACTGCCCATTTAAAATAAGACATAGTTAAGGGTACAGTTTCATAACCAAACATCACTTAACTAATGATAAAATGATAAAATAATTTTGTCTGATACACGACAACATTCACCATTAGGTTTCATCCTTGGGCTCTGAATGTGCAGCGAATTGGCCTCAGTAAAGTGTGGATTCAGAATAAAGCATAAGGAATGTGCTGTTGATTATGTATTTATTTATTAATTAGGAAGGAAGGGGGGTCTGCCAAAATTGCAGTGGAAGTGATCCCCCAATTTCCGACACCCCTAGTCACTATAACATCAACCATCATGTAAGCTTTGAAAGTTAAAAGGTACTCGACCTCAATTTGATTGTGCGAAGTTTCAAGAAGAATGGATTACAAAATGCAGAAAAGAGTTCCCCAAATAATAAACATAAAAAATAAATGAACAATGTTTACAAATTTACATCGTCTTGCAATTTATATTTTGATGTCTTTTTGGTTTTCATTTGCTTTCATTTCGCTTTTGTTTTCATTTGCTTTCGTTTTGGTAGTCACTCATGTGCCCTCATCTGTGGCTTGATCACACCTGCAGAAAAACAATGGAGATCACTGTTTGCTATTGTTCACCATTGTGGATTCATGTTTGTCCATCTCTGCCTTTTTCATGCTGTCTCCTCACCATAACTACTACTCTTTGTAGTCCATGTCTAGCTTTCATGTCAAACTGGTTCAGTTGCTCCTTGAGTGTCTGTATTACTCACTGTAATGTAGATCCTTTCATATAAGTACTATCTGGCAGACTGATACATGCTGCAGCACTTTAATAACCTGCATGGACCCACAGTGATGATCCATATCGGCAGGAACCTGCTCTCATCTGTGTTAAGAGATGTTCCTGGTGTTTGGAATAAGTGTTTCACATCTTTTTATGTTTTTCAAGCTTGTGATTTTTTTTTTAACTTTTTCAAGATTAATATGTTCTGCTACAAGGGGGTAGTGTGGCTCAGCAGGCCATAACTCTGTGCCTGTGATCAGAAGGTCACTAGTTCAAATCCCATGGTCAGCATTTCCATGTTGGGCCTTTGACCAAAGCCCATAACCCCGAATAGCTGACCCTACTTTTTCCAACTGTACGTCACTTTGGATAAAAGTGTCTTAAATAAATAAATGTAAATGAAGAACCACTTCAACTTCATAAATATGGAATTTCAGGTGAATACAGACGAATTAAGAGAGAGGTGTGGCTCTGTGATCGGTAGGTTACCGTTTCAAATCCCATAGCTGGCAGAGTGATGTGACATTAGGGTCAGTTTATACTCGGAATTTACAGCATGTACACTTACTGTACATGTTGCTGCACATACTTGCGTGCATGGTTTACGTCAACCTGGAGGATTAAATTTATGTCCACCAGGGGGCAATGTGAGAAATTATTATGTTCAGCAAAGCAACAATTCTGCTTCCACTCAATAATAACCATTAAAGTATAACAATATGATGTGAAAATGTTCCTAATAAACTGAACAATTACAGAATAGTTATGAAGAAGTTCTTTATCTCAATTGTGACAATGTATAACAGTACATATTAAGCAGTATATATTAAACAGCCAGTGCTGCCCCAAAGATGTTTGGTGGTATTACATCTCAAGTACGTTAATGTAAATTCTGTAACGTTATTTCCTCAGGAGCTGCACAAAGGATGTGCAGAATGACTGCAGGATGCGCCTGGCAGCCATGATGCGTAAGCGAATGAACTGGGAGCGTCGAGAATAAATGGACCTTTAGGCTCTTAAACCAAACTGCTCGAGGGACACTGTCAGGACTCCTCTCTGATCCTCACTTGTATGTGGCTTTAGACAAAAGTGTCCATTAATTAAAAGTGTAATGGGTCTCCTGTGATACTTACCTGTATGTCAGAGTGACTCAGACTAAGGTCCCACCTCCATCTCAGGAATGGTCTCCGTCCGTGTCTTCAAATTTAACAGTGTCTGAAACTTTACAATACTCTCATAAACTTTGGTTTTGTTTGACAGACATATTCTTTAACTGCTACACCGAAAAAATTGCTGTATACTTTCTAAACACAAAAAAACTCCAAAATAAACAGACTAGTTGCAAATCTGTAGAAAATCTGTATAAGACGAAAATAAAAAAACAGTTGATACACAGAAACAAAACAAAATCTGGAAAATTTAAAACACCATCTGGTAATTTTGATTAAGAACCCTGCAGAGACAATAGCCCGCCATTGTAATAACAGAACACAGAACTCTAAACCACTCTTATAGACATCAAAATTCTCCTGTACTTTTAATGGATAAAAGTTTCAGAGCTCAGGTGTTAACTATCTTCACCTGATAGACCTAAGTGTCTAAGTCACTCTTTCCTTTGATGTCACTAAGCACTGTAGCTTCCATTTTGGTGCAATTTGTCTCAAAATTTCATCAGGTCCTGATCTTCATCCTAACAATCTAACTGTAAATGTTGAAAAAGATCTATCATGTATATTTGAATTATTGTGTTAAAGAGATTCAGTGCCTGAAATTGCTGCTGTTTTTGCTATCACAATGTGGCCCTGTTTCAATTTTTGGTTGATCTGTCACAGTTTGATCACTTCCAGTTTGCCACCTGTAATATGTGTCTGCAAAGTATGAAAACTCCATAAAACACATATTAAAAAACATTACCAGTCAAATGTTTGGACATGCCAAGTCTCCTACAAAGGAGAGTAATATTGTCACATGACCTGGCCACTTGACCTAAACACAGTAGATATGGTTTTGAAAGAGTTTGACCAGCGAGTGAAGGAAAGGCAGTGAATGAGTGCTCATATATGTGGGACCTCCTTCAGGACAGTTGGAAAAGCATCCCAGGAGGCCACCTCATGAACTGGCATAGAGGAGACAGTAGGGGCAGCCAGTTCCTGGAGGAACTGGGGTAAAGGGCCTTGCTGAAGGGCCCAATGGTGGGATCTCTCTGCCAGCCCAGGGATTTGAACTGGCAACCTTCTGAATCCCAACCCACAGACCTACCCCAACCCCCACCAAAACAAATTATTTTTGGTCAGTGCATCATTTCTTAAATATTATTTTATAGTTTTGATAGCTGGATAATTATTCTAATTTTAATTATTCTACAGTGTAGAGAAAAGTACAAGTAAACCTTTCTATTGGTAAGTGTGTCCAAACTTCTGACTGGTACTCAATAATACTAGTTACTGTGCTCAAGTTACCATGCATTTCTTTAACTGTCCTTTCCTTCTGCTGTTGCCACATTGCACTGCTGCTTAATTTGGGAAATTTGTCTCAAAATGAAATCCCTTGTAGAACGTCATCCATATAATGTGTTTCTGAAGCAATAACAAGATCCATCCAATACTTATCGCATCCATAAGGTCAAATGTTGTCTGCTTTCACCATTCCTATTCCTGCCACTAAGCGGTGCTGTTTCCGTTTTATTCAAATTTTGCAAAAGATATGTCAAATAAGTTTTTGTGTTAATATGATCAAGTATCTGAAACTCCCTTTTTAAGATATCACTATGAGGCGTTGCTTCAATATTGGAGCAATCCATCTCAAAATTTAATAAGCTCCAGTTCATCACCCACACCGTGACGGCAAATTTTTAAAAAGATCTATCAAAGACTTTTTGAGTTATCATGTTACTGCAAAGACAACAAACTACTCCCAAAACCCTATATATTCTGCTCCTTTTCAGTACAAATATATATAATAGAAAGTTTGCACTAATCAGTGAAAAGTGCAATTCATGCCATTGTGAAAGCTTTTCTATAAACATTAAAATTAAAATCCATTTACACCTATAAAAAAATGATCAATGAGAAAAAAATGAATGTATTTTAATGAGCTACAGTAAGTAGATTAATTTAGCAAATGATCACATTCCTTCTATAGCTTCTATAGCCTCACTTCTGTCAACAATGATGCCAATCATTACGTACGTACATGTGGCCTACTGCTACAGACCAGGATGTGAATTTTGTTTTATTTAAAATTATATCCACCAATATGTTTGAATACAAATAAATAATCTTACCTTTTTTCTTGTAGCATGAAAAACCTACAAAATTTGCAGCTGCTACAAAAATTAATGAAACGACACCTGCGATGATCCCACCACTGGAGCCACCTATGGAACAAATGCAATGTTACACATGCACATCATATAGTACAATAAAACTAAAATATAAGAATATTTCTGAGTGACTCACCTGGAAATAAATCCGATTGCTTGACAGGTTCACTCTCCTCTGTACTCACAGGGTTGCTGAACACACATGTGTAGATTTTATCCAGCTTATCACTCTTCTGAACATGGAGTGTTGTGGTATCTTCTGCTATCGTCTTATTGTTCTCCTTCCAGGAGTACTTGGTATATGTGGTGTTCTCTCCCTCACAGACCAAAGTACACTGGGTATTGCTGCAGTTTGGTCTAATACTGGGTTTGGACTCTAGTTCTGTAGATCGGTGTAAAGACACGATTAAATGAAAATGCTAAAAACACCAAGGTAAGCAAAACTCATTACTGAAATATGGACAAGTATACAGAATAAAACTGACCTAAAATAATAATCTTACTTACCAAGTGCAATCACTGTAAAAAATGACTGAGCTGCCATTCCATTGATCTCAGCAGATAAATCCAGTTTTTCATTCTGCTCTAAATGTCTAATTTTAAGCACCCCAGTTGTATGATCCAGTTGACACCTTGATCCGGGATTACATATGGTATAATAATCAGGCTCTGATTGACCTGTTTCCCACTCTGCTGCTTTGTTCAGGTCACTTTTCCATGTGATGCTGGAGATTGGCTGGTTCACAGTGGGCTTCAGTGTGACTTCTTGCCTTACTATTCCAAAGAGCACTTTCACCTCCCTCCCTGCATGGGTAGCAAACATATCATACAAGATGTTCACACAAATGAAACAAGTTTTCATGAAAGGATCGGGTCAAAGTGTATCAAACAGTACAACGAGTGCCACAGAAAATCACATTTTAAAGTGAATATGTCAAAGCTCTTAAGTTTAAGCTAATAAATAACAGCGCTACAGACATCCCTACTTAGGGATATTGATTTCAGGTAGGTGGAAATTCAAAAATGTTCTGTATTTGTTGCCCCCTCGCCAGAATTTCCTATCTTTCAGTAACAAATTTCAGTTTTGAGTGCAGGAGCCATTTAGTTCTCAGTGGGGTACCTGTACGTGTGTGCATGTTAATTGAGATGAACAGGTCACAATGTCCGAACAGGGAGCACAGGACTAACATGACCAACAAAGAAGCAGAGACAAGGCAGCTGTGAGTGATTAACAGGAGGGCAGGAATGAGAGGTAAGACTAACGAGCCCCAAGCGCGGCCAGTTTAGAGCTACGCCTGAGGGAAACAGGGATCAGACAGGCAGAAATGTAACGCCAGTAGGAATGTCATGCACTTTGGTACTTATGAAACCTGTCAACAATCCCTCTAGCCACTGTGCAGGACCCGAATCTGCCATCCATCCAAGATGAACTGATGTTGTATTGCCTGTGAAAGGAGGCCCTACACCATACTAATAAGGTATTGTGGTCTGTAACCACGTTTCAGTTTCATTGTCCAACCCCTGTATGTTTATTTTTGAAAACGAACTTCAACAATACCTACAGACTATATACTGTAGTATATTGTAAAGCCATAAAGACTATCAATATTTGTAAAGAATATACAGTAACAAAAAAAGTTAAGCACCCAGGCAGAGTGGTGGAAATTAAATGAATCTACACCAGGTGAAAGGTCACGTGACTATACTGCAACAATTACAATATCAGATCGGGTCGGGGAGGGGATGGGGGCTGAGGGGCCCCCCCTAAATCTCTGTCTCTGGCCCTGTGTGGGTGGGGTGGCCCGCCGGGTGGAAGATCCATCATGGGGGGGTTTGGGTGGCCCTGGCGGGTGTGGGCGGCCTCCTCTCTTGGGCCGCGGGCCGGGTGGTGCTTAACTCTGCTGCGCCGTGGTGGGGCCCTGG